AAATGAAGGCACAGCTGCTTGCGGAAATTACTACTCAATTTGTATTTGTAAATTCCTTCATACCAATTAACGTTCGGCCGCTTCAACACACGTTTTATCACATTTTACGTCAGGTAACACTTTCATTTTGCTTTCCGGCCGATCACCAAGATCAGTTATTGCGTTTGCACTGGAGGTTGAAGATTGCGTGGAACATTTTGAAATCTGATCTTTGATAAGGAAAAAATTGAGGACTGAATAGAAGACGGTATTTTGCTGCCCGATTTCGGAAAGACGCCTATTCATAGGTGAAACGTCTACCATTCCCGATCGCGTCTGTGCATATTTCGTCAGAGAGGTTCGAAGAATAACCATTGTAATATTTCAGTTTAATAAAATTTGTAGTGACGGAGAGAGCAAGATTCAGTTCATTTGTGCAATGGGAGAGTCAGTCGGTCTGTGATTTTATTGTCCTACTGCAAACTCAGCTTCCAAATGTGTTTGTGTAAACCAAATGGAGCATGAATTGCTAGATCGACCGATCACCAGTATTGTAGTGAATTTGATTTTGCGATAAAAAGGAGCAATCCACGAGGACATTTGCTCTTCATGTTTTCTTCACAATCAAGTTTGACTCTCAATGTGATATTACTTTCTGTTCTACCTTTCCGTATGTGTACTATTGAGCCCGGTTTTCCGCTCATCTATATACATCAGCTGGGTCTTGCTCCAACCCCGATGCAACACGCGTGACACGCTTTCGCTTTGCTACTGCATTTACTTGCTTGCATTGTTTGGCGCGTATTTGGTACTTTCTAGTACCATAATACGATAATAATTGTCTACGAAAACCACGAGTGTTTTCTAAAGTGTCTCAGGCAACGAAGGACTAGAAGCTCAAGCGTGCAATTTAAGATCCATAGGAAATCTTTTCGACACGACGTACGATTGCATAGATTCATTGGTGGGCCCGAAAACAAAAACTTTCTCCTTGGTGATTCAATATTTGATGACAGTAGCGACAGCAATGAAACTGCTTTGTTCAATTGAACCGAACTGTCTGATGAGCAACTGCGACGAAACGCGTCTGAATACAAAGAATCTTTGATATATCGTTGAATAAATGACAAATTTCATCAATGTCGTTTTGCCATTGGTAATTAGATTTAACCGAGTTTCGTTAATTTTACTTCTCGTGGTCAGCCTCGTTCTCTTTTTTTCTCATGTGCGGTCAAACAAACAAGATGTTTTAGTTGTGACCCATTCGGTCACATACGAGGTGTTGGTAGAAGAAACAAATTATGTAGGATGACTAACTACATACAGTCAAACAACGTCTCAATAGATGAACATGTTGCTATCCCAGGTCTGTCTGTTGTCTGTTACTTTTCCTCTCACCTCTGAAAGACACTAGTCACTTCGTATGATAAAAGAGATTCCTTCATTGTTGCTACTGGCAATTTTCAATCGAACATTTTTCAATTTGATTGTCATTTTACCCATGGCACATATACGATCAACTAACGTCACAGTCTGAGGTACTTCCAGATCATCCTTTATTGCTTCTCAGTTCTTGCACAATTCACCATTCGAATGTTTAATTCACACTCTGTTGATAGTGAATTTTCGGCACCAAGTTTGAGTCATTCCATTCTCCGTCTTAGTGGTGTTCGCACATCAAATGTACGTCCTTCACTATTTTCGGCTTCCTTGGATTTTTCTGAAATTAATAACCTCGTTTCGAAGTGTTCTCAAGTTAGCAGTGACATGCACATATTAGGCATGAATCTGGAGTTATCAGACGATCTGATATTTCTCAAGTGACATAATTCCATTTGGATTGGATGCAACTGTTCGCCTTGCCTGACATTTCATATGTGGTAGAAGTAGAATTAGGGTCAATTTTGAAAAGTGTAATGACCGGATCAAGCTTTACTCTTTGTATAAAGTGTTAAAGTCTATTCTGCTCAATTTCATTGTAAGCAATATGTATAGACGATGTGTATAACTTTTTTGCATAGGATTTCATCGTGCAGACAATAGTATAAGCAATATCCACCTCAGTGCACCACTCATGATCCATTGATTATTATGCTCACATTTTGATGTTTCATGGGCGATGTTTTAGTTGCATTTATTTCGAAAAAAGTGTCTGTATTCACAATGAATGGAATAAATGATCGACCGGGCGAAGCAAACTAATTAAGAGGAACTGGTATCAGAAACGACTGTACCTAGGCTAAACGTCCCTCGCGACAGATCAGTGGCACTGAATGATTCAAGGAACTAACTTGCTATGTCGCTTCAATAGAATTAAATCTCTCCCATTTGCACGTGACAAGAAAAATGTGTCATTGTACAAGTGGTCAGTCTATTCTTCCAAGCACTGCATCAAGAATGTCGGCTCCGTATGTTTGTGAATGCTTTTGAGCCGATTTTGTGCTAGGCATGCTCTCACGAACGATGAAGCACAGATTAAAACAGTGTTTACTCGGTTGGTAGGTAAATGCATTCTTTCCGTCCCGCCTACATATTGTTGATTGTATCATTCTGCAGTCATGATACGGAGTAGGTCAAGGTTTCCTGTAGGCGGACTGAAAGTACAAACTAGCTCGCACAGAGTATTCTACTCAGAGGCGAACAGTTGGCCCAAATTTTATGGTTTCCGCGTGAATTACAACAAATAGAATGGTGCCGGACGACTCGTTAAAACAATTGGTTGTTCTGTGTTTCCAGGGCGCTGAATGTGCGGCTTCACAAAAGGTGCTCAAACGTGAAAGTTCACTGGGTTTTGAAAATCAGGAGCATTTCAATAACCGTTGGACTATCACTGAACTTGTGTATGGACTGCGATATAACAACGATTGTCACCATGCAACAAAGTTCATGTTCTCACGTTATTTAAAATAATTCTGGCGTAGAATCCGTTCTCACGCGAACGGGTTTTAGAAAAGAAATCAACATGATATGTAAGCGTGTGAACCTTTCTAGTGATAAGCTCGAGAAAGCCATTGAAAGCCGTTTTCATTATGCGATGTGATAATCACTCTCAAATCATTTAACCCTTACTACAATTACTGAAACTTTAACTCCAATCAAACGATCAAGCCATGAGAAGAGACTCTTCCAACGGATTTCCACATCCAGTGTATGATTTTCACACTTGGTAATGTCTCACCACTTTCCTATTGTTCACCTATGTCTCAAAACGATCGTCAACAACTATCTAATGTGATTCTTCCATTGCCGTGCATTAGCGCTGTCCACACCCGTTGTACCCCTTACTCACAGTACCACAACAGATATTGTACCGGTCTTGGAGATGGTGCAACCATTTGCTGTAAGTTTGGAAACCAGTTTGGTGTTCGGCTTTGCCGTTTCTTGGTAAGGAGATCAGATAATGAAATGTTTGCCAGTTGAAGCCCGCGACACGTCATCTTAACAACTGATGAAATCGCACTGTTACCTAAGATAATGTCATCAAAATCTGTTAAAGTTTTCACTTCTGCTTATGTGGTATCACTTTTTTGTAATGCAAATCGGCGATGGCTTACATTATTCTCAATCTCGTTCATAAGAGCTACGTTTAGTGCCTGAATCAGCATGCCTTTTTATTTGCAATCATGAATTTCTCATCTCGGCTTAGTCAAATGGCGAACACGAAAAAGGATTCCTTCCGCCAGATATTCTCTACTTTACCCATTAAAAGAGATGGAAAATAAGTCGAAACAGGTATGCGTTTTGAATAGCTTAATTTGCTTAATAATTGACACATTACATATTGGTTCACCAAAAGCACAAATGATGAGGAACGTGGCGAGTAGTCAGACGACATGGGTGCATCGTTTACACCTTCAATCGATGTATGCTACAGCATGACTAAAGTTGGTGCATTGCAACTAAAGGACTACGGTTTATTGGTTCGGAATGGCTGATTCCGGCTAAAGCTTGGTGGGAAAGTTGTATTCGGTTTGTGTTCCGAATAATCCGGTAGAAACTGGATTACAGTAATCCACCCAAGTTCATCGAGGTTACCGAAACCGGCCACCCCATCCTCTCACAACCACATGAAAGTGAGTGCACGTGTGAATTTCTCCAACGAACGGTTTTGGCAAACAGTAGAAAACAGGAATACACTGCGCCGATCCCAATAAAAATAATTGCTTCGAAGAAAGCATGTGTTTAACAATATTTAACTAGTGAAAGGTACTCATAACAGGGCTTGGAACAGTACTGTTTGGTGAAACAACTGTTTTCTCTTATTCATTCCCAAATTAAATTTCCCAGATTTGACTGGCAGAGAAAGAAAGTTGTCAAAAATATTTAAACTTGCTTTCAGGGATTGTTTACAACCAAAGTGATGTATTGGAATTTCAGTGAACTCCATACCAATGCCATTAACTCGATGAAAACGAATTAAGATGGAGTGTTGTATTGTAGGATTGTGGACTACAGTGTAGTTCACACTGTTGAATTGCACAATCCCAGCTCATCATCGTGAGTTGCAATCGGGCGAAGAATTTTCTTATTCAAAACATGGCCCGCCATCACGAACAGAAGGCAGATTGAGAATGTCCGAAGGATCATAGAAAGCATATCAGCTTAGTGTTCGTCGAGAGAAATTATATCGAGACCTATGCAGTAAACTGCCTCTCTTTATGGTTTATAGGTTTGCTAGTTTGCTTCCCGAGCAATCACACATAGATGCCCTGAAGAAATCAAGCTGATAAAATTACGCTCATTTTGTGAAATTAAAAATATTCAAACCATAGTTAGTATTGGCATTCGACTGCCGTTTGAAGATAACTTTAAACAAAATTAATTTTGCTCGATACTACTTTGACTTGTTTTGTTTACAATTTAAGCCATTGAAAGAAGATGTGCAAAATTTGAAGAAAAAATACACACAATTCAAGTTCAAAGTACAAGTCGATTTATCAAGAGAATAGGAAGAGAACAAAAATATGTTGGTTCAAGTTCAACTATCCTAATTGATCGAGCAGATTTGTGGGCTCTCCGCATTATCCCGGTTTCGTCACATGACCTGCAAACACTGGAATATTGTTCTCATCAATCAACAGAACCATAAACGGATGATCCACTTTAAAATGGATTCCCATGGAATCGCTAGCGCAAAATGCGGTCGCTGCCACTGCTTCTGCTCCTACTTCGTTCACCTGAATGGAGAGAATATTATACAAACGAAGGTATACATCAATTACAAACAAGGTATATCACATCGGATAAGAGAATTAATCAAATCAATTTTAGTTCAACAATAACGGAATCAGGGACACCAGTCGATGCTCTCTAAATACGACAGTCGGATGTGACGTGAAAAATGAATAGCGAATTGTTTAAAGAGCTGCGCAAGTGTAATATCAGGATGATGGACTGTCTGTAAGTGTCCATCAGAGAATAGACGCTGGTAAGACTTCATCACATAAATGAGTGGATCACCGAGCGTACACCGCAGTTGTCCGCAAGGACAATCGAGTTAGTAGTAATCGATTCTTCAGTCTACATCACTGCACGCTCCACCAAAAAGGACCGTAAGAATTACTGGAAGGCGAATGCAAACATCATTTCGATTTACCAGTTGAATGAACTGAGTGATTACAGAGTTTCGAGAATTAATCTTTCCCCTTCCTTTCAGCTCGTGCTGCCACCTTTGCGTTATCGATCACGACCTCATGACTTTTCCACGTGCACTGGTTCCAGACTTGTGACCTCGAGTCAGCGCGTCGTACAGCATGCTTGTTTTTTTGTAGCTGAGTGCGTAGTTGTCTTCCTGTCTCATCTATGCAGTGTTGATTGCAGCTGATGCATGGGAGTGTGCAGATTACACCTACTACTCTGCTATTCCGCGCCGGTGAAACGATATCTTTGTTTCACCAGCAATCAAAGGAGATCTCATTCGCGACCTAGTACACAGTCCTCAATCAGCTTTGACGAACCCAGTCAGAGAAATACAAGGAGAATAAGAGATTTTTCCGGAAGGTAACAAATCACATAAGTGATCCACCACATACGTGGTTCGGATGTTGTGAGCGTTTGTCGTACCACATATGATTCACCCTCTCAGCCCCAACCCCCATCTCAGACTGCATTCAAAGGCCGTCTGTTCGCATCATATAAAACCAAACTCTCCGTGCAGGAAAGATTGCTCAATGAACCAAAACTTGTGGGTAGTCCTTGTGTATTGCCTACAATTGGTTTGGGTAGCTCTTAACAATTAGTAGCTTGAAACACATTCTTCATTCAGAAGATAACGAGGTCGAAATGAAATTGCTAACACACGTTTTATATGCAAGTCGAAAGTGGTACCTCAGAGTATTGTATTCCAAGCATCGTATCGTAATACTAAACATTTACTCCCGAAAATCTCCCGCAGTGAAACGGATCAATGTAGTGGCGGTCAGAGAAAACTATCTGAATTAGGCGGGTTTTTGATAAAAATGGAGTTTTTAACTAAAGCCGAGCTAACCTCAAGTTTAGCCTCGTGCATGAAGTTTTCGAACGTCAGTGAGTGTGAGGCACGAATTCCGGGCAAGTTTGGTCGCTTCTTGTCGAACAATGATGATGCTCCCAAGGATATCAGTGTTTTCTCTGGCTCCCAGGCATCATTAGTGTTTAGTTTGAATCGGGGAAGAATTACTCTACAATCCGGCAAGTCAACATCTGTTATTTGTTGATAATCATCAAGCGTTTGGATAAATTCTGTTGGGTTTCAAACGTGGATGACCAACTAAACTCAAACTGCGATACCCCGCGTTCCTCTCAAAGGGGAAGGAGTTTGCAGTTATAGTGGATGGTGTTCTACATTCAAAGGACCGCTTTGTGATTTCGTCCATGTCTCGTCGTTCAATTCCAACCGATTTACATTCTGGTCAGTCCTAGCAAGCCTCACGTTTTGGTGGCCCGGTGGCACTCGTGATATTGTACATTAAGTTCAACAATGCGACCCGTGTGTGCACAAGATATATCATCAGCTCTCCAGATGGACTCCGTGTCCCGTGTCCTGTGAAGCACAGGAGAGAGTACATGGTGAGCACTCGGAACCGTTTTGAATAAATGCTCGGCCATAGTTGTCATCGACTCCTACTGTCGCTGACCAGAAGTGCATTTTCCTACTTCGATCGATTCTGACCTCACAGCAACTACACTGAGAGAGATACTCAGCGGAGAAGATGTACCTCATGTATTGGTCAGTGATAACGGTTCATTTTAATGCAACTGAAGTTACTGAATGACCTAAAAGAGTAAGTTGGCGACAGTTCTTTACTGCATCCAATGGTATGGTGGGTAATTTTATCAGAATGCTGAAAAGTGTATTTTGTTGTTGCTGTTGTTGTTTTCTCCGAGCTGGAAGTTACACTGATGATGTTGCTTCGCCTGGTTACGAGACGTCTGCGAACAACACTTTCAGCTCGAAGAACACAATAACAACAACATCCGCACCCCAAGCTGCAATCATTCCATATTATTTCCAACTGAAAAGTGCCATTCGTTATCTGTAAATCCATCGAATATCCATAAAGTGATATGAGGGGAAGATTATTTCCCGGTATAATATCACAGTGAATCTCATCGTACGGCCCATTAAAGTTCTGCAAAACTGTTTGAATCTCATGTACCTAGAACTAATTTTAATGTTTCACGGTTAGGTTGATCAGCTGCAGCAGTGTTCAGTAAAAAGAACACATTGATTAAATGGGGTTTTGGTAAAAATGATTTTTGAACTAAATATAAGCTCACCTCAAACTGTGCCTTGTGCACGAAGTTTTCGAATGTCAGTGGGTGTGAGGCACGAATTCCGGACAAGTTCGACCGCTTGTTGTCGAACAGTGATGACGCTCCCAAGGATATCAGTGTTTTCTCTGGCTTCCAGGCATCATTGGTGTTTAGTTTCAATCGTGGAAGATATACTTCACACTGCTCCACTTCGACAGGC